TCGGGAGACTTCGCTGAACACAAAAGTGTTTGAAAACCATAAAACATATCACAGAGATGATATTGTCAGCGAAAGTAAAGTATCACTGACAATATCATTGTTGTGAAACGTTTTACTGTTTTGAAACACTCATATTTGTGTTCAGCGAAGTCTCCTGAGTATAACAGTACCCCCTATGTACTAGTTTTATTGTGTTTTTGAAAGTTACACGGTAAAATACAAGGCTTGCCAAATTCATTTTTTTCTTTGAAATTTGCCAAATTGGTTATGTCGCCTTTGAAACCGCATGGTAGCCCAGGAATAAAAATTACCCCCATGATGGCAAACCATTTGCAAATGTAGACAACCCAGGGTATTGCAAAATGCAATTTCCAGTCTTTTTTAATAGCCACTTAGTCATGAACACTGGCCAAACTTAGCGTTCATATTAGTTTTTTGCAATTTTTCACATATAAATGTGTTTGTGACTAAGTGGCTACTACAAAAGACCGGACATACCCCATTTTGCATACCCTGGGCTGACTATTTTTTTCAAATGGTATGTCATGGTAGAGTTAATTTTCATTTCTGGGCTTCCATACCGTCTCAAATGCAACACAGCCAATCTGACAAATAGCAATTTACAAAAAACAAAATTGGCGAATCTTATGTTTGACCCTGTAACTTTCCAAATCACCATAAATCCTATACTTGAGGGGTACTGTTGTACTCGTGAGCAGTGGTGTATTTTGGATCTGTGCTGCCGTAGGCATGACGGAACTCGGGCACTCCCTCATTTACATTTGCCCCACCCCTTCCTATGAAAGTCTAACACACACACACACTTTGACTGACAGACACACACACACAGTGATTTGACACACACAATCACTGACTCACTCACGCACACAAAATCACTGACATACACACGACAGAAACACACCCACTCACAGACAGACACTGAAAGACATACTCACTCACAGACACACACTGACAGACATACACTCACACAAAGACACTGCCAGCCAGCCAGCCAGACACAGATTCCCTCCCGTCCCCCCCACATTCAGATTATTTTTACATTTTAATCCACCCAACCGCCCTACCTTTGGGAGAGCTGGGTGGATTTTTTTACCTAGGGTCCAGTGGGGCTGCTGCGGCAGGCATTCAGGCAGGTGGGTGGCTAGCTGAATTCCAAGGCGGATGGAATATTCCGGCTCCCGGCATCACTGTGGTGTGTGAGGGACCTGAGCAAAGAGCTCACAAATCAGCGCTCCCTCGACGCACACCTTGGAACTCAGCTAGCCATCTGCCACCAGGCTAACAAGGTATTTGCCTGGGCATTTGGGGGCAGCGTTTTTTGTCACCCCCTGGAAAATGCTGCCCAAGGCAAATGCCTTGTTTGCCTCACGGCAAATACGTCACTGCTCGTGAGACATTACTCTACATATAGAATGTGTATATATAATGCACTTAATAATGCAATCATATAAATGCATTCTATATGTATAATATATTATAAAATTATTATATTATATATGTATAATATTTATTTTAGGTGTCTGGGGGACTGTATGATTGCTCATAGTCCCCCCCTGCTGGCAGCTCCATAGACTTCCACTGCGGCCCTTGGAGGGCCGGAGCGGCAGCAGGGGGACTGCTGGGATCTCCGGCAGTCCTGCTGGACCAGGATTGCCGGTCCAGGTGAGTACCCGGGTCATTTTACCCGCTATGTCCGTGGTCATTAACTGCCGTTTTTTGTTGGACGTACCCTGCACATCTGAGGTCGGGAAGGGGTTAAACAATTTTTGCAGTGTGCATTATCCTTCCATCAGAGAACACCATTGCCAGGAAGGGGTGTATGTGGTATGCAACACTCTTTAGGTAGATGGTACGTGACAGAGTAACATCCTCATGAATACCAGGATACAAGGTTTCCCAGAAAAACATTGTCCAGGGGATAACATTGCCTCTGCCAGCCTGCCTTCTCCATATATTGCATCCTGCTGCCAACTCTTCCCCACACCAACTGATCTAAAAGAAAATGTCATTCATCAGAACATGTAACCTTCTTCCATTGCTCCATGGTCCAATTCTGATATTCACGACTTTATTGAAGATGCTTTTGGCAGTGGAAAGGGATCTTCATTGGCTCTAGGACACGTCTGTGGCTACGCAGCCCCATACTCTGCAGCCAGAAGTAGGGTTTTGGAACTTCACTACCAAAGAGACTACACTTGATAAAAAGAGAGAGCTACCATTTGTCCAACCCCCAGCTGTCACTCCATAGAACTCAGTGTTACGACACTGATGTGGGCTCCTAGCAGCTGAATAGGACCAGTAGAAAGAGCATGGCGGTGGCCATGAGAGACAGGTAAGAATAACTCTCCTTCACCTGCACCCCACAGCCACTGGACATCAAGTGACAAAGTCGTTGAATGCAAAGACACCAGACAGTGACAGATCCGCTATATATATATATATATATATATATATATATATATATAAAACCTGCACTCAATGTTCTCCAAAGATGGATATAAAGTTTAAATTACTCCAGCACAACAGATCGTATGTAAAGAAGAATACAAGTTTATTCTTGGTGGAACACATAACAGGATTAGCACTACTCCTGTATTGTGTTGCACAAAGATTAAACTCGTACCTTCTTAGGATACTGCCTTTTGTGGTGGAGTTCTTTAGAAATTTGAGGCAGATGAGACAAATACTGTGGAATACTTTACTTGTACTGACTTCAACTGTAACTTTACCATACTGGGATGATTATTTGTTTAACTGGAGTACCTATGTCTAACCGTAATCAATCTAAATGAATATAATTATTTGTAACATGTCCCTTTAACGATTTTTTGGGGATCCAGAGAGACACTACCATCATAACCCATTTTCCTCCAAAGAAATTTACTTTCAGAACAAAAAGGGATTTATTTTACAGCATATCAAAAAGTACAGATTTGTCCACCAAAACATTACAAAATGTTTTCTGACATCAGGCACTTCAGGATTTGGCCAATTGTGGCCCACATAACATTCCAAATATGGACAGGAACAATAATACAAAATGTTTTTTTTCCCCTGACTGGATTAATTTCATTTATTGAGAGTAAATGCTTTATGGCTTTAGGATTATTCTCTGCTACAAGTACGGTCTATGGCACTTGATAGCTAAAGCATAGGAATTCCTATATGCTATGTTCTACATGTATTGAAAGTCGTCATGGTGATGTGTTAAAAACTAGCTTGCACTAGTTATTCTTTGACAGGACAAGGATGAACATCAAGGTCATAGAACACCCTTTTGGCATCATGGAAGAAACTTACAACTCTTTAAGAACAGGACATATTATGCTTCAGTCAGTACTATGGTCCAACTGCCATTAGTTATAATCCTTACAGACTAGTAATACAAAAAATTACAAACAGCATGCCTGCTAGAGAGGGAGTCCAAACGTTTCCCACTTTTACCATTTATCTTTCACTTCTCCTTTTACTATACTCATATATACCGTTTGAAGAAAAGAAAAAATTGTAAAAGACATAGCTTAAATAAGACACGTTACTTGATCATTGTGTGACATTTCAATGGAGCTGTATTTAGCCTGTTGAGTTAGAAAGAGGTCACTAAAACCCTGATGCTTGAAATAGTTAAAGCGCCTATGTGGTTCATTACAGTGGATCAACTTATGCTGATCTAGGTCTACGTTAATCTTTGCCTATGCATTAATGAATAGTGTGACCAGTTAAAGGATATAAAATAAGCACTGACAGCAGAGAGATGACAGAAACAAGTACTCATCCGTTTGGCATGATGAGCAGAGGTTCCCAACTCAAAACCACTTCAAAAATAAACAATGGCACCTCCACTGTGAATGCAGAAAGATACCTTTTTTCAAGTCATCACATAAATGGGACCCTAAGTGGTTAAGTATTCTTCCATGGCATCCAAAGTAGGGCAGCCATTATTTAATTTCTTATCTTTTTATCGGACATCCAAGCTCTTTAAAGGTAATTCCACAACAAAATGCACATCCCCATGTAGTTTTTCATCTAAGACTGAATAAATGACTGGTGAAGGAGTTGCTTTCCCATTTCCAAATGAGAAGAATTTATGTTCCAAAGGAATTGCTAAAGTATCTATAGTTTATGTTTAAAGAAACAGTCCAGGCACTATAACACCAATATCCGTTTCCCCTGATACTGCCAATACAGACATTCCATTACCAATATTCATTTCATCAGTATTAAATGCATTCATTGGCTGAGCGTACTAGCTATAGTGTATTGACTGCTCCTTTAAACAGACCCTGATAGTCATCTTCCACTAAATTACTGCAACTAACACGGTGAACAATCCAGACACACATTTTCAGTTACAAAATGAGACCTTTCAAACAATAAAAACATCAGATTGAACAAATAATTATTTTTAAAAAAGCTAGGCAGTTAAAATAAATTAATGTATCCATCACCAAAATATTGAATTCCATTTGTGGAATTAGAATAAGATCTTCCCTGTAACATACAGTACATGAGCTCCGGCTCACACAGGGAAGCTGTGAATAAGAAAGAGTGAATAGAATTGTATCTCAGGCTGGCTGTGTAGTGTGAGAAAGTATGGTGACATCCACGTCCCAGCAACTGGCTGCATAGACAAGATAAAAAAGTAAGATGCCAGACCAGAACTCTGAGGAGGCTTCATCCAACTGCACAATGTGAAGTCAAATCTGAGACGAGAATATTTCGGTCCCCAACCTAAAACTTTCAAAGGAATAATAATGGAATAACAACCTGCCCCAGTAACAAGAAGGTGAATTCCAAGCCTGTCAACAAGGCTGACAGAGATATAATAAATGTTCCCATCGTTTGATGATATAAAAAACATGTAGTGTGCTGTGCAGTACTAAAGTAGACAAATGAGTGAATCACATTTCATAATCATTTGATCTTTGAATGTACTGCTTTCTAAATATAAAAGATAAGGATGTAATAGGGGCTCCATGTGAAAGAATTAAGAGTCAGACAATGGGCTGGTGAAAAGTGTTTGTCAATATGTAGATGATCTGCATGCATTACACACCATAACCACCTCACACAGACTTGATAACCACATTGAAGTGGTTATGGTGTCTGAAGTCACCTGACACAATCCCAAAGTGCAGTGTTAAACTATTATTCTAACCGTTTCATGTCAAATTGGCACCTCATACAATGTCAAACAGAATAAGAACGGTTTAACACTGAACTGCAGGACAGCATCAGGACACCAGGCACCATAACCATTTAAATGATTCCTAGAATGTCCCTTTATCTCAAATACCAGAGATAAAGGAATATCCCACAACTGAGTAAGCCATTGGCTGTGATCCATTACATCCATGGACAACAAATCCACTATGGTTAGTATGAATAAAACTTAGAGACACAGGAGAACATTTTAAGCAGGGGAGGGTAGACACAAGAATCAGTAAAATTATGGTATGAAATTGGAAAGAAAGGATAAAAAGTTCACATGAAGGAAATTTATGCTATTGCAGAGGGAAATAGATGGCAGAATGAGCAGAAGGGGAAGGTCAAATTAGAGAAGAGGCCTAAACTGTAAGTCACAGTAGAGGAGGAAAGCTGAAAGAGAAGATCATCAATGAGGAGTATGGGAGATATGTGAGAAGGAAACAAGAGCAAGCAGAAAGTGTGAGGCCATGGAGAAGAGGGAAGGGGCCAATAGAATATTTCACTGAAAGGACAGACAGAAGATCTAAGGAGAAGCTTCTGATCTTGCAGCATATAGAGGGCTCATCCAG